TAGAAGGTCAGAAAGAACATGAGCCCCTTTTTATGAAGTTAAAAAACTGAAGCTAGACCTATTGTTGAGGCATCTGTGTATTTGTAATAATATTTTAAGAATAAGACTATGATTTATACCACATTCAAAAATGATTGCACATCGCAAGAAAGACCCGTGCTGAGTTCTGTTTCTCAGAAAATGCCTACTTACTAAAAACCTGAGCTAAATGTATAAAGGTGACTAAGTAGAATATATGGTTTGTGAAACATTAAGCTATAAAGTGTGAAAGCTGATAGTTGCAAAGTATAGAAGAAAACATGGACTTTGGGGCATCTACACAGAAGCAGCTTGGAGTCCCAGATCTGCTGCTCACTAACTGTGTGATCCTGGCCAGTCGCTTGGCTTAACTCTGGTTTCCTTGTATGTAAAGAGGAGATATCAGTGTCTATTTTGCAGGATTCTTGTGAGGATTTGATAGGGTATATATAAAGTATTTTGTAGAAAATAGAGATTCAATAAATGATAGTTACGTTAAGTAGCAGTTTTTCCACACTGTCCCCGTATAATGGACATTGGGCAGAACAAATCAGTCTTTGTCTTATAAAAGTAACTGAGTAAATGTACTTTAAAAGGAATGTAACTTCGGAATTTGAAGTGTGAATCTTGTTTGCTTTGAATCAATCATATTGTGGAAAATTTGAGCTGTGTAAGCAGCTAGAACATAGTATTATTCAGATCATCTTGGGTTTGAACTTCACATAGGCCTACTTATTTTAGTGCCACAGACTGCATACCAGCTCCTCACAACTGTTTTACAAATATGTGTCTTTATTAACAAGGGGGATTAAATGAGAAAATAGTTCAATACATCTTATAAATAGTATATTTATGAGAAAAAAAGTTCAAGGTTTGTATGTCTTACCGATGACTTAATATTACCTTTATATTCTAAGCTAATGCGTGTACTTGATAAAGACCCCCATGTAAAAACAGTACTAAGCAATATTTAGAATTATTTTATTAGTCTTCTGCAAATAGTGCTTGTTTTTTATAGTAAATTTGTTGCTTATGGACAATGAGTAACTGTTCATCCTGAAAACTCAAGGGTGTTTACCTGCAAACAGGTATAACTAGATAGTAGAAATACAGGTTTTCCTATCCACCCACAGTTCTTATTTCTGAAATGGCTGCTAACACCTCCTCAAACTGATAGCCCTGGCAAACTCAAGGAGAGCCAGTGTGGGCAGGTTTTTCTCTCCTTGGCAAAAGGTTTAGTTGCTTTGGACTTTCCTCCCTATATCTTCTAACTGAAGAAAAGGGCCTTTGGAAGGAAATTTAACCAAGTTTCTCTGCTTATTAACCTAGATGTTCTTGTCCTGGTGTGTTGTAATCAACCTGAATCTCCTATTCAGGAGTTAGTAAATGCTTATTGGTTGGTTGGTAGAAAGATTGTTTGTCATGGTTTGTGACAGTCTCAATTGGGGTATGGGTAGACTACAGGCCATCCCAAAGGATTCAGCTTTGTTTATGTGTTTAGTGTTCTGTATTTTAAGAATGTATCAGTCATGTGTACAGAGGGCCAAGCCTGTTTGGCATTGTGGTTCCAGGAACTATTCAGTGTCAGTTTGACTTTAAGGTTTTAGTGAGTATTTACTATGTTTTGAAGTATTGCATGGCTTAAAGTGCAACTATAAACTATCCCCTTTCAGCTTTAATGTGTAACATGGAAATATGTCTAGCTAGAAAGGAATCAAACTGTAATTCAATGTGCATATATTAAATGAAGACTTGTGTTCAGTATTTGAATATACAAACTCTGCCTCCTCCAGAAAGTGATCTTGTCTTACTGCTTCATGCCCAATGCCTGGGTCACTGCCTGGCAGCATGGAGTACTCTCAGTGAATATTGAATGAGTGAATGAATGAATAGTTCTGGATCTGGATGTAGGATAATTTTGGAAGAGATTGAAATAGAAATGAATAAACCTGTAATATTTTCTTTTCCTTAGTAACCTAATGATTTTCTTCCTGATTTTATTTCATTTTTCTTAATACATTTTATTGATTATGCTAATACAGTTGTCCCATTTCCCCCCTTCATTCCCCTCCACCTCGCACACCCTCTCCGACCCACATTCCCCCCTTTAGTTCATGTCCATGTGTCATAAGTTCTTTAGCTTCTTTAGTTTTCTGTCATTTTACTATACATGTTTATTTTTTTCTTCTTTTCTTAGATAAGTCCCTTTAACATTTCATATAATAAGGGCTTGGTGATGATGAACTCCTTTAACTTGACCTTATCTGAGAAGCACTTTATCTGCCCTTCCATTCTAAATGAAAGCTTTGCTGAATAGAGCATTCTTGGATGGAGGTCCTTGCCTTTCATATTTGGAATACTTCTTTCTAGCCCCTTCTTGCTTGTAAGGTCTCTTTTGAGAAATCAGCTGACAGTCTGATGGGAACTCCTTTGTAGGTGACTGTCCCCTTATCTCTTGCAGCTTCTAGGATTCTCTCCTTCATTTTTACCTTGGCTAATGTAATTATGATGTGCCTTGGTGTGTTCCTCCTTGGGTCCAGCTTCTTTGGGACTCTCTGAGCTTCCTGGACTTCCTGGAAGTCTATTTCCTTTGCCAGATTGGGGAAGTTCTCCTTCATTATTTGTTCAAATAACTTTTCCACTTGTTGCTGTTCCTCTTCTCCTTCTGGTACCCCTATAATTTAGATGTTGGAATAGTTAAAGATGTCCCGGAGGTTTCTAAGCCTCTCCTCATTTTTTTGATTTCTTATTTCTCCATTCTTTTCTGTGTGGTTGTTTCTTTCTTTCTTCTGGTCTACTCCATCGATTTGAGTCCCAGTTTTCTTCCCATCACTATTGGTTCCCTGTGCATTTTCCTTCATTTCACTTACCATAGCTTGTATTTCTTCATCTAATTTGCAACCAAATTCAACCAGTTCTGTGAGTATCCTGATCACCAGTGCTTTGAACTGTGCATCTGATAGGTTGGCTATCTCTTGGTCGCTTAGTTGTATTTGCTGTGGAATTTTGATCTGTTCTTCTGTTCGGGCCATTTTTTTTTGGGGGGGGGGGGGTCTTGTTGTGCCTGTTATGTATGAGGGGAGGAGCCTTAGGTGTTCACCAGGGCGGGGCAACCCAGTTCCTCAGTTGTTACCTGTGTGTGGGGGCAGGGTCTGAGAGGGAACAATGGAGCTTGCTCTGCTCTCCGTTGGATTTCAGTCCCTTCCGCCCCTTCCCCCAAGCTAACTAGACCTTTCTGGTGCTAATTCCCATGTGAGTGGGCTTGTATACGTTCTAGGACCCTGTGGGTCTCTCCAACAAACTCGCCTGTGAGGCAGGGAGTCTCTCCCTGCGCCTCAACCCTCATAGGTGCTTTCAATCAGTGTCCCGAGGTTCTATTTCCCTGCACTGTGACCCTGGGTTGCCAGGTCTGTCTCACTGCCAATTTCGCAGTGGTTTATCTGTGCGTGAATGGGGGACTGCCCAGTCAGCCAGATGCCTTGCACACAGTGCCTCGTTTCACAATCGCTACCTCGCTACCTCGTTGGGCCTGCCAGCCACCTGCACACCCAGGGTTCGCCCACTGTGGTCTTGCGCCTGAGATGCCTTACGCACCTGGTGCCACCGCTTTTTGTGCTGCGACCCCTCTCTGCTCGGCTGCCCTACTGCACCCTGCCTCCCTGTCTGGATGAATGTGTATATTTTAACTCCTTGGTTATCCGACTTCCATACAGTTCAATATTCTGTCAGATCTGGTTGTTATCTTGTTTCTAAATTGTTGCTGACCTTATTTTAGTTGTGCGAGGACGCACAGTATGTCTACGTACACCTCCATCTTAGCCAGAAGTCTTCTTCCTGATTTTAAATATGCATATAATTATACATATGCATTCTTACATTGTACCAGCTTGCCTTCCTCTAAATATGAAAGTTCCTGTTTACCTCCAGAATCTGTTTCTTAGCATTTTTTCATTGAAATTAATCTCACATCAGGGTGAAGCATTTATGAAATTTTAGTAATATTTGAGAAGAATTTTTTCTTTTAGTTTTCAGAAATTAATAAGTCAAGCTATCCCGCTAATAAGAAATCTCTAGAATGAAATAAATCACCTTGGGATATATTTCTTGAAGTTGTATGTTCTCTTTTATAACCAGACTCTTAATTAGGAAAAACAAAAACAAAAACTTGTTTTCAATGATCCAAAATATATATTTTTTAATCTTTATCAGCCCTTATCTTTTTGTTATTTATGTAGCTCAGAAAGCAAGGTATAAATATCTCCTTGAATAATATAGATATGTGGGGGGGGGGTGAATTGGTGGGCTGTTTTAATAGGAAAATGTGCCTTTAGAGTGTTACGGAATGAAAGTATTTTAAAAATATTATATAGCTTTGTCTTCTGATTAGAAACAGAAAACATGCTTAATATAGAAACTTGGTAAAGACAGCAACATCAATGGGGTGAAGTTGGCATTTAATCAGGAAGCATTTTACTTTTTTAACTTCAAGAGATTTTTTTTCTTGCATTTCTGTCAAGTCTACAATGTCAAACTTTGTATTTTGGAGAAGGAAATTACAAATGCCTGAGAGTATAATACTTAAATTGAAAATCTGCTCTAGCTTTTCTTAAAACACCACCTTTAGCAGAGTAAATAATTTTAGTAGCTAGATGTCATATGTAAGGATATGAAAAGATAGAGGTTAATTATGTGCTTGTTAAATTAATCATAACTGCCTCTTTTACCATCTTTGCTGTGGAGTATTGCCCAGTGTTGTCCTCCTGTTATCCAGCTTCTTTCTCCCAAAGTGAGGGGAATTGATGAGGATATGTGCATTGTGTTATGTCTGATCACAGCTTGACTAGCACAGTCTGGAAGTGGGTTGTGCGGGATGAGAGAGAGAGCAGCCTAATTGTTCTCCCTGCATCAGCAGCATCTATAAAGCATCCTGGGAATTGCTCGCCCTGCGCTCTGAGCAGCGGTCACATGAGCCTGGATTTTCAGTTCAGTTCATTAGTCAGCCATTTTGGTCACCACCCTGCTTACTGCGCACAACCAATCCTGTCAGAACTCAGCATCCCCGCTCATCTGAGCTGGTTCTGGAAGTGCTCTCTGCAGTTGAGGATTTCTTTTTAAGCTAAATTGAAAATATTGGGGGGTTTTTTGTTCATTGTTTTTCTTTTGTATTTTCTTTGCTGCACAAAGAAGGATTTTTCACTTATACATGCAGAGGCCAGTTTTTTTGAAGCCAGCTAAGGCGGCTTCAGCTGTGCAGGATTTGAAGCCTATAGCTCAGCTGAATGAGAAGGGGGTAGGGAAGGGGAGATAAAAGGCGAGAAGCTGGGCGAAGACGAGCATCATTTTATTTTGCTATGTGGTAGGAACTGTCTATGAGAAAAGATAGTAGAGAATTGTTTATCTTGAATAGTTGGTTCTTAAACCATAAGATATTTTTCCTTGTGTGTGTGTGTTTTTGAACCTCCCAACTCCTTTTCTTAAGAGCTTTGTTCCAGAGCTTTGGATTTGGGGGTTATTGGTGAGGCGGTTTTATTTATTTTTGTTGGGTGTGTGTGTTTGTGTGTGTGTGTGTGTGTGTGTTGGGGTCCCAGCTGAGTCATCATGTCTGCTTTGACGCCTCCGACCGATATGCCAACCCCCACCACTGACAAGATCACACAGGCTGCCATGGAGACCATCTACCTTTGCAAATTCCGAGTGTCTATGGATGGAGAATGGCTCTGCCTGCGAGAGCTGGATGACATCTCACTTACGCCTGACCCAGAGCCTACCCACGAAGGTACGGTCAGACCCTGTCCTCTAGCGTCTCTCCAGCAACCTCATTGTTGTGGCAGGCTGGGAGGGTCGGGGGCAGGTAGGAAGAACCCATGCATGTAAACTGTTAACAACCCTGGAAGCCTTTCCTCCTTGCCTCCCATCCAGTCCCCCTCCTCCACTTTACTAGGAGCTGAATATTTTCCCCTGCCCTCCTGAGGTACCCTTTCAAAACATGCTGCTGCTTGTCTAGAGTTCTTTGTCTTTAAGCCTCTAAAGAGAACATTTGAGGTCACTTACTATATCTGATCCTAATTTATAATGAAAAAGCTATTAATTTTGATTATATACTAAACTATTACAGAAATTACAGTGGCTCTTATTAGAATAAGTTAAGACAGCATGATTATAATAGTGCGTGATATAGTTGAAACACTCGAGGGGTATCATATCAGGATATAATAATGTTAAACGGGCTATGATATCTAGAAAAATATTTGGTCAAACATTATTGTTTCTTTAATAATATGGATTAGTAGGTTAGATGAGAAAGCAGTTTTACATGTGGAGTCTTAAAAAAGCATGATGTCTGAAAAGGTTAAACGTGATTAATAAGGCAATCCCTACCCATGGAATCTTTTGACCATTGCTTTTTTATAAGTTATTTATGGTAACTATGATGATCTATTTGAAATTTCTACTGTCAGTATCTTTAAGACCTTTGTGGTCTCTTGACTTGTCACTTTCTCCAGAAGGTTTTCAGCTTCTACCCCTTAATTTTAATAATACCATAAGGAAGAGAATTAATTTGACTCATAGCTCCTAATTATTTTGTTTTTATGTAGTAGTGGCCTCTTAGCTAGTGTTTGTTCTGTATCATTAAAATAATGAAGACAGAAATGCTTATACATGAGATAAATTTTTCATAAACATCTTCCTGGTGTTTAGGCATATAATCTGCAAAACAGGGCAGAAGGTAAATTGCACATAGCCGATTGCATTAGGTAAAAGTGATTCCTTGCCCTTGACCTTGCCTTGCAATCTTATCGTGACTCAGATTTCACCAGTGTGTCTGTTAAGAATTTTACTTTCCCAGTTAGACTTAGCCTTGACTAAGTATTAGAGAGGGTCAACATCACAGAATGCAAAGCAGTCTGATTTGGAGTATGTCTTTAAGGGCAACACTTAAGTAGTTTTAATTTAAGACTTTCTGCATATTTGAACAACTGGTTTATCAATTGGACACTTCTGGCTCCAAGTTTTAGAATGTGCACAAGCATCGGAAGACATCAGCTTCAATTCCATACAGTGGCAGTACTGTTTAAAACAAACTTTAGGGATGAGAAATACATTTTTAGCGGCTACCAAGAAGTCTTTTAGCAAATGCCTCAATTTGCATATCCCTGTCCATTTTGAAAGTCATGAAATATGAAATACTACCTTAATTGTAAAATCCAGGGTAGCAGTGTCTCAAAAATAGTTTTGAAAAATTTTAGTATTTTGAGTATATATTTGTTTTTTGAGCAAGTTTCCTATGAGCGAGCAAAAGTGAGCTATTTGGTTTATGTAAGCATTTGTAATGAAGAAACTTGTGACAAAATTTATGAAGGCTTGCAACCTAAACTCTTAAGTGATGCATCCTTTGATTAAGGAAAACAGACAAATGAGAAGTTTTAACCCCTTAGAACCAACAATAGAGGATGTGAGGAAAAGAGAAAAATGCTGATAATAAATTTTGGAATTCTGCCTTAAATTTGGCAAGAGAAGCAAGAATTTCAAATGGATAGCAATGGAAATAATAGAAAGAAGCCCAGGCCCAGGAAAGCCTCTGTAGCTTTAGTGATCTAGGAAACCAAGTGATCCTTTACAAGCCTATATTTCCTTGCTCCACTGGCTAAGTCTGGATGTGTAACCAGTCACTTGGACTCAGGAAATGTCTGTTTTAATATTAATATCAGTGACCATTGCTAGGTTTAATTCAGCTATCAGCATTTAAGTGGTGGTCACCAGGCCAGTGATAATGTGAATCTCACCTTGTTGACAACAGAGAGCACCTGGTGTCTGGACACATGGGAGTATTCACAGAATACTTCCTAGCCCATCCACAGAGGGAAAGACATCTGCACACACAAGTCCTACAGTGGGGCCTCCTGACTTCCACAAGAGAAAGTGGGCAAAAAAGCATAGTGTACCTACCCTCTTAAAATGATAATACAGATGTAGCCTCAGAAGTAGAAGCTTTATTGTTTCCAACTTTTGTTTTCTGAAAACAGAGTTCCTGCCCAGCTTAACCCTTAAGTACATAGGAATGAAAACATTCACTTCATTATTTGAATGGTTATTGTTGGTCAAGGAGGTTATCTCTCTTCTTTTATATATATATATATATACAATTTTTTACAAACCAGGAGCAAACCTTTGTAAGTAGATTTCCCCCAAAGACAAAAGCCTAGGATTGATTACACAGGAAGGCAGAAAGGCTTCATCCAGCAAAGGAGACTTGGGCTGGACCTTCTGTGATAACTAGGTGATTGCCAAGCAGATACGGAGAGTGCATTTCAAACACTGCAAGGTCAGCTGGCGGAGCTGATAGTAAGTTAAGAGGATTAAACGAGATAATTAACGTAAAGCATCCTATAAACATTAGTTATTTGTGTAATCATTATTCATGGAGCAGTAGTTTGAAATGCAACAGTTTAAGCCAGATTCCTAAATATATTAACATTTTAATAGATATTTCTGTTTTTATATCTAATCTTCTGAAACAGTCTTAAGGTAAACATTAATAGCTTAAATTCATATTTTAGTATTGTCCTTCTTGGACTTCTATAAATAAGAAAATAATTGGTAAAAGTAAAACTCAGTTATTAAGAAATACTTGTTTTCCTATTAACCTTCTTTTAAAGATGGGGAATCCGATATTGAGAGGTGATGCAAGAAGATCAATTTAACAGAATAAAATATACCATTTTGTTACAAAGACAACTAACTATAAGCTTTGAAATTACTTTTTTTGACTTAGGAAACTTCCTTCTCAAATACAGATAATAAGAGATGATGAAGAAATAAAATATTGAACAGACACATTGAGAAGAGAACCTTTGCTTACGTCTTTACGTCTTTGACTTGAGGGTTAGAGAACTGTACGTGGTGGCTGACTTACACATGTTATTATTGCATAGCTCTGCAGTTTTCCCCTGCCAGGTGCATTTTGTTTTAGTGTTTATTTAAGATATCTGGCACTTATACTGCAATGTATAAAGAGAGAGCTTACATGAAACATCTGTGAGTACAGTAGTACTACTGCAGTACACACAAGGAATGTGTTTTGGTCTGTCAGTTGATCAGAAATATTCATTGGGCATTCCTTGATACAAAGTCCAGTTCTAGGGACTGAGAAAGACAGCCCTTGCCCCTGAGCTCACCATCAAGGTAAAGGAGATGAAACAAAGATGTCAGAGGCTGCTATGCAACGTGTGAACTGCTTAGTTGCCAAAGGACAACCCTGTTTCTCAGGAACCGGGACATGGGTTCACTTTTCCCAAAGGACAGTGTATGTGCAGATTTGGCATCAGGTTTTTTCCATTCAGCAGGGAATACATACTGATAGCATCTAAGCAAGGAAAAAATCACCTGCAGGTGAAACGAAAGGTGTTTGTTGTTCAGTGACTATGGGAAGTGTCTGGTGCTGAGGTAACTCCAGGGACGTTTACTAATGTTACTTGCACTCATTAATATCACTGCATGAAGTATAACCCCATGCTGCCTGGGAACTGCACATGTTTTAATGAAAAAAAGTGAACATCTCAGTGGGCATTTTGTTAGGTAGAGCCGAATGGCTGTTTACTGAGAAACTTCATAGCATGAATTCACTACAGTCTAGTGCAGGGCTTTTTTTCCTGGGATCCATGATCCTAAAAATTATATGTAAAACCTTATATCTGTGCATTTTTTTCTGGGGGAAGATCGTTAGTGTTCTTTAGAACCCCCAGAGAAAAAAAAGTACTGCAGATTTTATCACAAAATCAGAGTATCATCCCTTCATTCAGCATATATTTTAGAATCCACTCATGCCTTCTACTCTAGATCCTACGGTACAGCCTAGTGAGCCAGCTGGGTCCTCTGTGTGCGCCATTCATAGTTTAGGTTGTAGCTGTTAGATACTTCCTGCCACAGATTTCTCCGTGCATTCAAACAGCACCATCACAAATGCTTACATGAACCAAACTGCTCACTGTTCCTCACTCATAGGAATCTTGTCCAAAAAGCAAATATGTACTCAAAGTACTAAATCATTCAGAGCTACTTCTGACAATGACACACTAGATTTTATAATTAAGAGAGTATTTCACATTGCATGACTTTTAAATGAATGGGAATACTTTTTAAGACAAAATATGCAAATTGAGGCATTTGCTAAATGACTGCTTGGTAGCCCTTAGAAAATATATATTTCATCCCTCGAGGCTATTTTAAACAGTGCTGTTGTATGGAATTCTAGTGATGTCTTTCAACACTTGTGCACATTTTGAAACTTAAAGCCAAAGAAAGCATCCAGGTGACCAACCAGCTGTTCAAAGATGCTGAGGGTCTTAACTGATGAGTGGGGGTGAAGTTACCACTTCAGACATTTACAGTGGTGACCAAAAATCATATCTGAGGGAGCTCCAGGGGAGATTTCCAGTTGCAGCCACGTTTGAGCAGGAGCTGTCTGGGCGCTGACTGAGGGCGAGGGTCGGGGAGGTAGGAAGATAGCACTTGCAGAGAGACCCAGGTGCCAGCCACAGCCCAAAGGTCTGCAGTATGTATTTTCAGCCCCTTCCGAATTTCCTTTCCATTAAATTTTCACCTCTTTGATCACATGCTCTACTAGGGACAAAATGTTAGGGATATTCGATTTTTTTCTCTCTTCTGGGTGTGCACAATGTTAATTTTTTAAGATTAAAATCTGAAGTGTTTTAACAGGGAGTAAGTTCACTATATGTGTGCACTTATTTCTGTACTTTAATAAAATATGGATCTATT